CAACTATATTTTAATTTGCACTTTAAATTTTTGTAGTTTATTTTTAAACATTTTTAATGTATTTTAAAGAAACTTTAAACCTGTCAAAAATCTGTTGTTACTGTTGTTTGTCACTAATATAAACAGCAGCTTCTGTTTCTACGATGCAAAAATTTAAAAAGGCTATATTTTCATTTGTACTTTCTGAAATTTAGTTTTACAGTTTTTTTGTATTTGAAACATTTAAACATTTTTAATGTATTTTAAAGAAACTTTAAACCTGTCAAAAATCTGTTGTTACTGTTGTTTGTCACTAATATAAACAGCAGCTTCTGTTTCTACCATGCAAAATTTTATAAAGGCTATATTTTCATTTGTACTTTATCAAATTTAGGTTTACAGTTTTTTTGTATTTGAAACATTTAAACATTTTTAATTTATTTATCTTATGCCCACAATTTTCTTTAGTGAATTTTCTATTTTTGTTATTAATGTTAAAAAATATATATTTTTGTGTTGATAAGCCTGAGTGGTCTGTTGACTGACCTTTGCATTTGTTCAAATAATGGTTATGGGCAGGTTACAATATAAAAATGTTTGTTATAATCATGTCTGAACAGAACAGGGCAATAATAAATGCCCTGACGCACCTCTAGATAAATGTTTTAACTGGGTTAAGGAAAATAAGAGCACCAAGCAACAACCTCAGGTTCTCCCCTGAGAACCAGACCCAAAATTTTATGCGCAACCCTGAATATAAGGACTGCCTTTTACAATTCTTCCTTCTTCCATAATGTTCATATTTTTATGTGTATTTGAAATAAAAAGACAAATAAATGTTACATTTGGAAAAATGTTGTTATTTTCCAATGAGAAGAGAAACAACTAAAACAACAAACTGCAAGCTAGAAGGTCTGCATGTGATTGGCTAATAACCATTTCTATAAAAAAATAGACACATGTTCAATATCAATAGAAAACATTGATATATTATTGATAATTTCATTGGTTATTAACTGCTGAGCTTCCAGCTAAACAACACAGACAAAGCTAAAATTCACCTTCATTTGAGAGATAAAACACTGCTGGACCTGTCCACCATGGTAGAGTTAATATGAAACTAATTATTTATTTAAGATGCTGTTAAACTGAAATGAGATGTGTAAAAACTGAAGGTGTCATTGACCAGACCAGTTTTATAGAAGGAATGTTTTTGCTTTATTTCCTTCTTAAAGATTTAGTTGAACGTATCTAAAACAATCATGCATTCCATGTGTTTGTAAGGCCTCTGCAGTGCATTTAAAACATCATACAGAGTACAGCCTGAAGCCCAAGAAACCATCACAGAATAAAAAAAATTAACTCTTAACACTTTACCTCCAACAGGACAGGGCAGCATCTCTCCTTTCAGCCTGGACTCCACATCTCCTCCACTGCAGCTGTCACCTGATACTTTTCT